AACAAACTTAAGTTGAGACAATACACACATCCTTTTAAAACTAAAAGTGACGTTAGATGACACTATGTCCTCCTGAATTGTTGGTATTTCTCGCTTTGCTTACAATACCGTTGTTTTGACGTGCGTGAAGAACGATTAAAAGGGTAAATTCGAGATAGACCACATCAGTCAAATAATGCGAATCCCTTAAAACATATGTCTCCAATCGTTGAGTGTGTATTGTTTGTTTCAAATCTTAAAGTAACGTAGGTGATGATACAAGCATTTACATTGTGTCATAGATCAAATTTATTCGTTCAGTGTATGTTCACTTGTTTTTGTTTATATGTCTTTTGATTGAGTTAAGCCATTTCAATTGATATTTTATAGTGTTTCTTTCTATGATATGATGTTACACTATTGTTTCAGGTAGGGTGACGGTTAGCGCCTATTAAAACGTTTAAACCCGCTGCATTTGTTTGCACCTGTCCTAAGTCAGGAACCTGATGTTCAGTGGTTGTCGTTTGTTGATGTGGTTCATAAGTGTTTCTCAATTTTTGTTTTTCATATAGATTAGACCGTTGGTTTTCCTGTTTGAATGGTTTTACACTAGTCATTTTTGGGGCCCTTTATAGCTTCCTGTTCGGTGTGGGCCAAGGCTCCGTGTTGAAGGCCGTACTTTGACATATAATGGTTTACTTTTACAAATTGTGACTTGGATGGAGAGTTGTCTCATTGGCACTCATACCACATCTTCTTATATCTATTTTCGTGAATATAACAATTTAAAAGTCGTGTCTGTACAGGTTCAAAAATTAAAGAGAAATAGTTTCATAAAGCAGGTTATCCGTTAAAAGATTTTTACTAATTTTTTTTATGCAATTTTAAGAAAAGGTCGTTTCGATTTCTGTACATGTATTTGCGGTCCTTTCGATCTATTCACATTCAATGTTTACATCGGGACAAGGTCCGTTTGAATATGCTTAGTAACTTAATATTAGAAGTGTTGATTTATGCTGCATATTAAGCGATTCCTTTGGAATTTTCGCCCTGAAATTCTCTGATCTCTCTGCGTATATATACGGATAATTGACATGTTCCATAGAGGTATATACAGTGGAGATCACTTCTAACCTCTCATTAGAACTGTCAGAATAATCTGTCATAGAACTGTTCCAAACTGTCCTAGAATAGTTCTACCTAGAACAGTTCTACCCTAGAACTGTCACAATCAGTCCTAGGTAGAACTGACACAATCAGTTTTAGGTAGAACTTTCAGGATCAGTTCTAGGGTAGAACTGTCTAAAACTGTTCTAGGTAGAACTGTACAAATCAGTTCTAGTCGTAGAACTGTCAGCAGAAGTGACCAAATCAGTTCTAACCGTAGAACTGTCAGCAGAACTGACTAAATCAGTTCTAACCGTAGAACTGTCAGCAGAACTGTCTAAAACTGTTCTAGCCGTAGAACTGACCAAACCTGTCAGGATTGTAGAACAGTTCTAAATGACGTCACTGCAATTTTTTAATATATATTATATTCTTTTAACATATTTATATTTAAGACAAAGAGTTCTTAAAACTGTTCTATGGATAGAACTGACTAAATCAATTCTAGCCGTAGAACTGACCAAATCAGTTCTAGTCGTAGAACTGTTCTAGCCGTAGAACTGTTCTAGTCGTAGAACTGTTCTTGTCGTAGAACTGTTCTAGCCGTAGAACTGTTCTAGTCGTAGAACTGACCAAAGATTTGGTCAGTTCTAGGTAGAACTGTCTTAAACTGTTCTAGGGTAGAATAGTCAGGATCAGTTCTAGGTAGAACTGTCTAAATCAATTCTAGGTAGAACTGACCAAATCAGTTCTAGGTTAGAACTGATCTAGCTAGAATTGTCTTAAAGGTGTCAGGATGACAATTCTACATACTGTCCTAGAACAGTTCTCCTGACAGATTTGATGAGAGGTTAGAAGTGATCTCCACTGTAGCAAGTAAAAAAATAAATTGAAGTTGGTACTCCAGGAATTTATTCGCATAGCAACATTTTAAACCAATTATACACAAAGCTCTGATAGCCTTATGTGCTCGTCGTTTGCTGTTCAAGGAGGGAAATGATGACTTTAAATAGAAATTTTTTTTTATTTCAATTTACTTTAATTTTAACTATTTACCAGAACGTTTTCTCGTGGATTCATAATTTATAGCGTCCTTGCTAAAACGGGACAAACATTGAAAAGACCAAGTTTTCAGTGTTTACAAAGGAGGTAATTTTTTGTCACTAGATTTCGCTCTGTTACTGATTCTTTTGAGTAAGGTATTAAAACATCTGATTCTTGAGATAATGGCAATGATAAGAAAGGCCCATGACTGAACTTGAAAGATCGTTAAACTCTTGTTCCGAAAAAGAAATATGTAGTTCTTAAAAATGAAGAATTTGTGAGGACTCTTTATCTCTTTTGAATTGCTACCTGGATTATTACAAAAGCCCCTTCATGAAAATATGAAACAATTCAATTGAGAAAACTAACGGCCTAATTTATAACAAAACAATTTACGAAAAACAAATATGACAGCCATGAACCAACGACAACCACTGAACTATAGGCTCTTCACTTGGGACAGACACATACAGAATGTGGCGGGGTTAAAAATGTTTGAAGCCGCTAACCCTCCCCTAACCTGGTACAATGGTGAAACGGCACAACACAAAACCAAACTATAGAAAACAATAAACGAAAAAAAAAAGCTAATACTCACAGTGAACACTGCCCTTTTCTGGATCTTGATATCTATATCTTTAACGAGAAGCTTAATACCAAAATTTACGGTAAAAGAGATGATTTTTCATTTCCTATTGTTAATTATCCATTTTTAGATGGTGACGTTCCCTTGTCACCATCTTATGGTGTTTATATATCTCAACTTGTTCGATTCGCTCGTGTATGTAACAACGTATTTGATTTTAACGAAAAAAATATCTGTATTACTGAAAAATTATTACACCAAGGTTTTCGATATCACAAACTTGTCAATACATTTACCTAATTTTTATCATCGGTATAAGGACATCATTCGTAAATATAAATCAACGTGCATACATCTTAAACGTTCAGGTATTTCACATCACATCTTTTATGGTAATATTCTATACAAAGCACAAAAATATCGTCAATCACCTCAAAGTTAACCAAACCTTTAAACAGACTTATTCAGAAGGGATATAGTTACGATACTGTTGTCAGGTCATTAAAGATGGCATTTTGTGGAATTAATATTGATTCACTTATAGGGTCCTTGCATCGGAAATAAACACATTTATTCTAAATTCAGTTTTTGGCATGATACGGGTTATGTTCTTCTCGTATATTTTATGATGGTATGATACAAAACCCCTAACGGGAGGGATTGTCCTTGGTAAATGGTGTTAAAGAATATGTAGGATTACAAGTTGTTCTATTTATTCCAAGCTCTGTTGTGAGACATTGCAAATAATGGTTTTTACATATGAAGACAATATTATTGGAGGCTTTATCTGCTGGAACAACGACATATTTGTCAGGCAAAGAGGATAAAGCATCCACAACCTCCGGATTCTTGAAAGGGTTAGTTTTCTGAATGCGCTTCTGAATGCATGATCGAATAGCTTTGATCCATTCAGACAAAGTGTCCAGTTCTGGTTCGTCTGGTTCGCGCTTTACCCATTTTCTTGCATAGTCCTCAACTGCATCCATCAGTAACCTGAAGTTCTTTTTCCAAGTGATGGGCTGGGGAATTCTATTTTTTGGTCCCTTGGCTAACAACTCTCTTAGTTGTTCATTGGTAACGATGCCAAAGTCGCCAGTAATAACATGACAAGCTGGACTATAATTGTATTGCGGCGATGCACATGAGCGATCCGGAGGCTTGGATTTCACATCTTTGAGGTTAAAGGCCTCTAAAACCCTCTTGTGGTTGAAAATCTTGGATGCAATAGACTTGGTGTAAGTATAAGAAATAACAGGTGTAGCTTCATTTTTGAAGTAATCAGGTATAGTTTTTTGTGCAGATTTCCTGCCGTGCGCTCTAAAACGGTATGTTAATATTTATGCTAAAATAAATGGGGAATGTGTCAATGGGACACAGATAATGCACCCGCTTTCATATAACGTTATAAAGGGACATAACTCAAGAACGGTAAAAGTGACGCTATCCTTTGTACTTTACCTGCGTTTTGTGGTAATAATCATTGTGTATAAGTTGTATACTATTAGGTTGAGGCAAACTGAAGTAAGAGAACGGAAACGAAAAATTTAGCAATTTTTCCATTTGTAAAGGGGCATAACTCTAGAACGGTAAAAGTGACGCCACCAAAATTCAAAGATGATCTGTGTTTTGTGGTAATAAGCATTGTGTATAAGATTCATAAAATTTTGTTGAGGCAAACTAAAGTTAAAGAACGGAAACCAATTTTGTGTCGTACGGACGTACGGACAGACGTTCAGACGGACAAGGGTAAAACTTAATGCCGACTCCACTACGACGGGAGCATAAAAAAATTCATCTACAAAAAAAATATTCAGTCGATATTAAATAAAATTGACAAACCTACTTGTAAATTTCTGGCTTTGTGAACAATACAGTTTTCAAATTACCTTTCAAATGCCTGTAGTTCAGAGGTTGTTCATTTCTGTCATATTTGTTTTTCGTAAATTATTTTGTTATAAATTAGGCCGTTAGTTTTCTCAATTGAATTATGTCATAGTTTTCATGTCGGGACCTTTTATAACCGACTATACTGTATGGGTTTTTCTCTTAGTTGAAGGCCGTATGGTTGTCTATAATTGCTTACATCCATTTCATTTGAACTTTGGTGGATAGTTTCAATGGCAATTACACCACTTAACCTTATTTTTGTATTAATCAAATACATTTGAGTTCAAACGTTTGGAAAGAAAAAAATGTTCTTCTATGTTCATGACTTGCATTACTAGTACCACAGGTTTAATGTTTTTATTTGTTTAGTTTTGCCCCCATTATCTTATAAAAAAAGTTCAAGGCACTAAGAAGCTTTATTATCCAAAGTTTATGAAAAACATTGATATATATATTCAAATTTGAGTAAGACTCAATACAACAATATTTTTTTCGTGAAAATACTACTAACAATATTGCGATCAAGCATTGATGCGGATAACTTAAACAGACACTACAATATAATTGCAGTCTCGGTTCTGTAATATTTTTTTGCCTTTTTAGAATGCTGTTTTTTGAAGCATGTTGAAAACAAATTTTTAATGAATTTGGCGTTTATAGATGAAAATTGAAGTTCGTCTAATGTTTCAACACTTCCGAGGCTTAAATACCTTTGTGTAAATGTCTGAAAACAACATCACATTTTGACAGTTTTAATATGTTTGTACCCGCCATGCTTGATCGCGTATAATTCCATGCGTTACAAACCTGAATTTGGTTTATAGTCTAAATACACTAACAGCAATAATATAACAACCTTCTTGAAACAACATTTTACACTTACAGATATGACTTCCCGACCCTGATATTTCAGAACCAAATTGGGTGCTAGTGCCAAAGCAAGAAGAAGAAAAAAACATGTAATAAAGAAAAATATAACATCTTCTCAGAATAGGAGAAAAAATAAGAAGGTCCTTTAAAGCAAACACAAACAGCTTGATATGTGTAACTGAAATATAAGCGACATTTTGCAATGAATTGAGTGTTACAAGAGTTGTCTGTTCATGGTACTTCTTAGTTGCAGGTTTTGATACCAAAGGATAGAACCACCAAAAATAAGTTGCAGAGAACTACCTATATTTTAGATTTCGTAATTGGGCAACTCTGGTTGTACAAAAAAAATACAGTCTTTTTGTTCAGCAGTAGTTAAATATTTAAGCTAGAATATGTTTGCTTCAATGTAATTAAATAAATCACGAAATGCTAAAAAGGAAGTAACACTACAACAAAACATAAAAAAAAACGTTTAAGTTTACTACCGATTGCGTTTCTGTTAAACAATTCAAGTTCCCTGAAATTAGCTATATTTCAATAAAACCAGATTTTGATATTTGTAATATTATAACATTTTTACACTAGGTTGTCTAAAATTAAACGAAATATCAGTACACCATTAAAGATATATGTAATTACAAATTTTAAGTCGAGTTATATTAATGACATAAAATTTGAAGACATTTGAAACATTGATAAATTAAACTGTAAAAATTATATAAAAGTCTGCAAAACGAAAACGGGAATTCATAATAAGCAAACTTGCAAATAAACATCACAATTTGTGTCACTGCAAAAGCTGTGCCTCGTCCCCTGAACTGATAAATTAAGTCCAATTTTTAATATTTTTTTCACTGATGCATACTAGTTGAAAAGAGTGCTTTTTAGGCCTGTTAACTTTCAGCTATTCTCAAACAAGTCACTGAAATATAGCTTACATATTATTACTTTTTAAATATTCAATGAGGTCCGACATTCTTTTGACTCCAGCAGTTTCATTGCCTCTCTTTCCTCCTACAAATAGCGCTACCATGACTGCTGTTTTTGAGGCTGCTATGAATGCCTGGTACATTTGTTTATCATTCAGTGTTTCACCTTCTCTGTGTTTTCTTTTCAATGCCATTGTACCTGCATTATCTTCAAGATGTCGAAGGAACGTGTAGGGATTACCATCAAGAGTTATTCCATGTGTGTAGTCACTGCCTTCTTTGTCATCCAGCCATGTACGCGCCTTTTGGATTTCATCTGCCATTATATTTACGCCTTCAGTACTTGCCCATTTACTTCCGTCGTTACCATATATTCCTGCACCAACACATTCACCTGCTGCCGATAGGTCTCTAACACTTGTGACATATGAATCCCAGCCTGACATGATGTAAATTTATTCTGTAAAAACAAGACAAAAATGATTAAGATGACATATAGACCTTTTACATATAGTATGGACCATGAAAAAAAGTCAACTATGGAAATAAAGTCAATGTCAAATGAAACCAACCAGACGGACATGTACACCTTACAATCGTTTCAAAAGCCAAATAGGGCTGACCTAGTTCTTATAGTATCCATGAAGAGGGTCTTAAACAAGAAAGAAAATTACCTATTGAAGACAAGTGCCTGTGCCCTTTTAGTACGAAAAAGTCCCTTCGCATCATTCGATGAGACAAAGCTCATTTTCAAAGGGTCCGTTGCCAAGGCTACATTTTCCGACCCTACCCAACTATTCATACATCCTTTTCGACAGTTTAAAGTTTGTTCTTTAATGTCAAATCTCCTCTTTTATATCTAATACAATGTATTAATATTTTATTATCCATTTCATGTCCATGGCCTCGATATATCTTGTGTGTCCTGCAAGAGCAAACGATCAATCAATTGTTGGAATATGGTCATATATTGTAGTGGATGCATCTCCAAAATCAAAAAACCTTGGTGAGCAAGCTCACCATACCCCACGCCAAAATCTTATTTGTAGAAAGCAACACTGTAGGGAACTTTTATAGCTTACTATGTAGCATTTTTTTACCAGTTGAAGGACATACGGTGACTTATAGTTGCTTACATGATTAACTGGTAATCATACCACATCTCCTAATTTTTATTAAGTTGACATCCCAAAAGCAGATTATTATAACACTTGGAATGGCATGGAATCACTGTGATTGTACTTATGTTCATGACATTTTAGTGTGTAATAGATGGGAGGGGCCTCGGTGACCAAGTGGTCTCAGTAATCCATCTATAATGATCACTAGCCTATCAACACTGAGGTTGTGGGTCCGAAACCCACACGTGACTCCGGTCCTAATTGACTATGGTTGCCTTTTTCGTGTCAAAGGTCGGTGGTTTTCTATGGGTGCTCCGGCTTCCTCCAATAAAATTTGACCTTCACGTTATAGCCAAGAGTGCTGAAGGTGCCCTAAACATCAACAATAAAGCATCAATCAATGTATCGGTATAAACGTGGCGTATGTGAGTTAAGATTTGTACTTATGTCTATAGACTACAACATTAGAAGGTAGAGGTATTGACCCTAAAATCTAAAGGGATATTCCTCTTATCAAATGTAAGAATATTTTAAAGTGAGGTTGCAATCCGATTTAAATTGTTTCAGTTAGCATCCGGAAACCACTTTTTTTGCATAAATGTCGGTCTAATTTTAGTAACTACGACCTTGGTCTATGAGGTATTGGCCTAAAAATCAATAGGTATCTTCCTCTCATAATATGTGAGTATATACTAAAGTATGGTTGCAATACAAAATAAAGCATCTGAGTAAGCATATGGAAATATCACCCTGAAACTACTTTTATGCACAAATTACGGCCTGTTAAATACAACCTTGAACTTGAGGTATTGACCTTTACATCAATAAGGACCTTCCTCTCATTATATTTGACAATATATTCAATTATGGTTGCAAACAGATATAAATATTTATTTTTTTAATTCCAGAAACCACTTTTTACACGAGTTTTTTTTTCAGTAATTACGACCTTGACCTTTGAGTATTGACCAAATAATAAATTGGGATTCTAATTCTCATTGATGTGAAGATTCATTGGTTGCAATCCGATATAAAATATTTCAATTAGCATCCTGAAACCATTTTGTTTGCAATGATTTCATTCTATTTTCATGTACTTAAACCTTGACCTTTGAAGAATTAATATCTTTAAAGCATGGGGTTTAATAAGGAACACCACAATACCTTGCTATTTGGTTTATTCAAACAAGATCTAGGAACTAGTAAATAAATCTAAGTTTTAAACGGGCGTTTTGATCCTAACATCATCTTAAAAGTCATGTTCAGTCGTTCAATCAATTTTCAGAATTATCCACTGTGGTAAATTCAGTACTGTTCAGACAATTCGATTGCAGCCAATTCAGTACTGTTCAGTAGATTTTCAGACAATTCAGTATGATGTTGATGTTTACAGGTAAATCACAACTACTAAACAGTCTGAACATATCTTAATTGACTGCAAGTGAATTGTCTGAACAGTACTCAATTTATCGCAGTGGATAAGTATGAAAATTGACTGAAATACTGAATATTACTTAATGATTTATTGTTCGGATCAAAATGAACGTTTCAGATCAAAATTAGATTACAAGTGAGGGGATGGTCTGTATTTGTATATGAAAAATAGATTAAGTTTATCTGAATAACAAGCATTCTGTGAGTATTGCCTGGCAATACATAGTCCCCTACCGGTTAAAAATCATTGTACTGGAACAAAATGCTAACTTGATCTATAACTTGTCATGGTGTAAACTATATACCAAACATCAAATCAATATCTTCAAGCATGACAAAAAAAAAGCGCGGAAAACTGATTATTTGAGTGAATTTTCTAAGTTCAAGGACCATAACTCTGCACAAAATCGTCAGACCGGAACAAAATTCGAACTTGATCTATAACTTGTTATGATTAAACAATACACCAAATATCAAATCAATATCTTCAAGCACGAAGAAAAAAGTGTGGAAACTGATTTGCCGGACTGACAGACAGACAGACAGGCAGACAGACAGACAGACAGACGGACGGAGTTCAAACCTTAAGTCCCCTTAGACTTCGTCGGTAGGGGACTAATAACATACTAGATAAGGAACAACTCAATGAAAAAACTACAGTATCCGATATCTCGCATTATCAGATATTAAAAATTTCCGCAAACCAAAAGTAGTCCACAGTAGCCTATTTTTGTCAGCATATATGCCATCCCACTAGAATGCAGATTAACACAAGTTTAGACTATTCTATTATAAGTACTTACAGTTCAGAGATATAAACATTACAAATAACAAGAGTGAACACGCTGAAATGTCTCACCTGTTTTACTTATCATTGAATTCATGTTGAAAGCTGTAATAAGAATGTTTTACTTCAAGTATCACATAAACAACATTTTCAATGTTTAATGAAAATGAGATCACGGTCAGATGAACCATGAATGACAGACATGTACACCATACAAGCATTCCATACACCAAATATAGTGGTCATATTGCTTATACCGGTAGTACCTAAGAAACAGATCGAACCACAAAATCTTAACATTGACCAATGAATCATGAAAATGAGGTCAAGGTATATGAACCTTAACAGATAGACATGTACACCTTACAATCATTCCATACACAAAACACAGTTGACCTATTGCTTATATTATCTGATAAACTGACAAAATTACTAAAACTTATCATTGACCAATGAACCATGACAATGAGGTGATAGTCATGTGAACCCTGCCAGACAGACATGTACACCTCACAATTGTTCCATACATTAAAATATAACTGAAATATTGCTTATTATATCTTAGGGGGAAAAACCACAAATACTCAAAATTGTACAATGACCCATGAAAATGAGGTCAAGGTCAGATGAAACCTGCCAGACGGACATGTACACCTGACAATCATTCCATACACCGAAGTACAGACCCTATTGCTTATAGTATCTAAGAAATAGACCAAACCTCAAAAACTAAACATTGTACACTGAACCATGACATTGGGTTCAAGGTCAGATAAAACCTGTCAGTCGGACATTTACACCTTACAATTATTCCATACACCAAAGATAGTTGACCTACTGCTTATAGTTTCTGAGATACGGACTTGACCTCGTAACTTTAACCTTGATCACTAATCCATGGAATAAGGTCTCCAAACCATTATGACTCTGGGGATTAGTTTTGAGAAAGAATTTGAAAATTAGTCAATCAGAATCAAGGATCTATGACAGCCAATAATTGCTTAATCTTAATGAAATGAGGTATTTCGTAAAGGGACTTCAATACATTTCTACCAAAATCGTTCAAATTAGTCCATTAGTTTCTCAAGATATAAAACAAAACAAAAAGAATAGATGGTCTTCTTCCTGGCACTCATATTATGAGTCATTACCATACAAGGAACATTCCTTTCGAGTTTGGATACATTTGTCCAAATGTTTTAAAAGATGTTAATGCACAAAAAACAGACAGACAAAATGGATTGCAATCGCTAATTGGTCTAAATTCTTATTGAAGGAATATTCATTTCAGTGAGAACAACATGATTTGACACTTTCCTTGAACGAGCTTTCCTTTTTGAATTTTCCTCGGAGTTCAGTGTTTTTGTGATTTTACTTTATACATGTACATGTAGGAACAGAATTATGAATTCAAGTGCCAAATCCATAAAAAGTCGTTGAAGCATAAAATGTAGGTCATAGGGTCTTATTCTTGCTTGAAAGCTAACCCATTACCAAAAAGCATACCTATTAAATTTAGAAACGATGATCCCATTACGTATAATAGCAATATAATGTACCAGACAATCTGCATAATATTCAAATTATATTAAAATATGCACCATGCGTGCCTAATTTCACCTAAACATGACAGTGTTCAACATTTTGTAATTTGTGAGAAAAATCTAAATTATATGCACAATCATGTTATATTTACTTACATCCTACCCAATATAAAAGTTCAAGCTTGAAAACTGTAGGATTCAGCCGGACAACCCACGTAACCTATGTTAGACTGACAGATAGAATGACAGACAGACATAGACACGTACAGGAAATTTTAGTCAAAAATTTTACTAATGGACAATTCAGAGCTTACATTATAGCCAATTTCAGCGCTGGATTAAGCCATTCACCTGAATTTTTAATATCCCATTTAAGCGAAAACTTATAGTTGAATAATCCTTATGTTGGTTTGGTGAACCTGGAAAAAAACTAATCAAACAAAAATGGCTGTTTTTGTGTGATGGATTTCGTTATCAGACCTACAACTAAATCAAAGGTCAAGAAACAAAGGCAAAAATCTGCAAATAAATGATTATTTTAGGTGCAATAACTCCATAACAAGTCAACAGATTT